CACTGAGAGATACGCAGCTTATGATGACATCCTGTGTGTTACGCAACTGCAGAGCATCTGGTGGGTGATAACCTCTGTGTATAGCAGAGAGGTGGGGAGGTCTTTCTCAGCTGGGACTGACTTCCCCGTCATGATGTGGGGTATCAGGTCACAGACAGCCCGCAGCAGTGCTCTGCGGCAGGTTGATAAGGTGGATGGGTGGGACGCAGAGTGTCCCTGTCCAGGCACACGTCCACGTCACCGGGGCACGGCAGCTGCCAGAGGGGGATCATCTTAAGAATGAAATCATCTTAAAGTTCTGCTGAAGTCCATTCCAGGAATGTGTGAGGAATACAGTGTGCAAATTCTTATCGTCCTAGCTCTGTGTGGCTCTTTAGAACCTGCAGGAGAAACCATGTTTGTGATCGAGTGTAATGTTTCCAACATTTCAGGACAGCGAGTCAGTGGTATGTGGTTAGTTTTGTGTTCAGGTTTTTCTGGAATAAAACATATTAATATTCTTTTTAATTATTTTGTTACTTTTTTGCCGTTAACTTTTCATTTTTCTAGATTCTGGATTTAGTCACATCATAAAAACAGGCCTCAAAAAAGAGGTTATCTGAGCTGAGAGGATAAAAAGAGGCATTTTCAGCTCTGCTAGACATTGTCTATATTCTCAACATTTCCAAATGTAATTTATTCCTGAAAACTGCTAACTAAGAGTTAAGAGTTAATTCTGAATTGAAAATGAAAATGTAGAGTTTTGATTTTGTCTTCTCAATAAATCTTAACATTAATAAATCTTCACGGCTAAAACAATGTTACTTTTTCGTTAATTTGATGCCAAATTCGTTTCATTAAATCCTTATAATGATATTATATATTAATATATATTAATATATATATATATATATATATAATGAGTTATTTATTTCATCTGCATGACACGCTGCTGTCAAAGGGGAATCCTGATGACAGAAAACTAAAACTGAAAATATGGATTTTGTGAACTGATGATAGTTTTGTTAGTTTTTTTTCGGCACATCTGAATCTAAAAACCTTTTTAAACTTAATAAAGATTGTTTTTCAGGAACATGCTTTACACTGCACTTTGTTCTGTTTCTAAAGATCCATAAGAGAAAACCGGTGGACTTGGAGGATTTAACATTAACTCAGTTGTAAATGCATTTGGTGTGTGTGTACCGAAATTGGTAGATTACACATGCTAGACTCACATCTGAACTGAAAGCCACGCAGGTTGTCAGTATCAAAACAGAAAGGTCGACAGGGGGCGGGTTGTTTGAGGTTGTTTGAGGGTGACTGCCTTATTTGCCTCCTGTGAAAGACCACAGGCAGAGTGTTGGAGGCCTGTTGTAAGAGGAAGGCAGAGGTGAAGAAGAGGGGGAGAGGGGAGGAAACGTGAGTGACGTACATGCATCTTTAGTGCAAAACTTCTCACTCTGCAGCTTCTCTATGTGCTGAGAGTTCTGTGTCTGAGGAACTTATAGATTCAAAAAGGGAAATGACACAGTGAGTCAGAGATACATACAAACTAAGTGTGCAGTACAAAGTGTTGTAGCTACTGATTTATTTATGATTTACTATCTTTACCGGATGTGACCCCAGAAAATTCTAATGACAATGAGAAGATATTTGATAAAGTATAAGATGTGAGTTTGCTTTCATTTTGTGGCTGTGATGAAAGTCCTCTGTGTTTCACCTGAAGGAAGTCTCTGTCTGTCTCTCTCCATCTGTCTCTGCCTCATACTTCGGCTGTGAGTTGTGGTTCTTCGCATTGTTATCGTTGCTGTCATCTCTAACAATGAAAAACAGTGTGTGTTCAAGGGATGGGGGAGGAGCGGACGCAGAGAACGACACAGGAAAAGAGGGAAAGAGCCGCCAGCTGCCGAGCATCAGAGAAAAGAAAAAGGAGAGTGATTGAGTACAAAGAGAGAATATGTTAGACTGGGTTGGCTGAGCTGGAGGATATGGAGGGATTAAGTATCTTTCAAAGTGAAGGCCGGAGTAGAAAACTTTTCAAACTCGAAAAAAAGACATTCAGTTTGTTATTGATATAGAAAAGTGAACATGTCCACAGACTTTATCAGGTTTTGTAAATACTGTTGGGGTGTTTATTAATTATTAAATCACAATAATGATAATAATCTATTATTTCAAAATGTTATCTTTTACTACATTTCCACCTCCTGTGCTGCTGTGTCAATTGTAAATTCCCTCTATAGAGGATCAGTAAAGGTACATGTTATCTTAGCCCTGGACGAACAATGAAAATGAATGCAGATCACATCATATATGCAGATCAGCTGTGTCACTGAGCCTCGGTGACGAACTATTCACTGTGACATATCTAAACAGTGGATTCAGGCTGGCAGAGAGTCCACACAGCGAAATGAAAGTAACAAAGGTTTGAGACCACATGTTGCCATGCCTACCCGGCTCATTGGGTCTGGGCATGTTGAGCACACATGTGAACATCTCATGAAGAAGCTCTGTAATGATAGAGCTCTGGGAACGCCGCTCCTCGTTTCGGCCGAGTCTTTATCATTGGACGTGGCACTGATTGGCTCCATCTGACCTCCACCAGGGAATCAGAGGCAAAGCGGAAAAGGTAGAAAGGGTTTTTTTTGTTTTTTTTTTGTGAACTTTGTGTGACTGCTTTGTTTGTCAGGAAAGATCAGAGTAAAACAAACAAAGGATATGTTGTTGATAGTGTTTAAGTAGCTGTAAAGTTGTGATTTACTTCCAAACTTTAAATACGTTGTTCAGGCACACTAAGCTCAACATTTCAGTTGAATGTTGTTGCTGTAGCATTAAATTTAATTGTTTGTTCCAACCAATGTTTGGGTGCCACTGACACTGAGTCTTTGAGATGTCAAGTCCACTGAATCAGTATTTAGATTTATACTGTGCTTTAAGGTAAAGGTTGTTGTTTCTCTTCTGTCTGGCTGCGGAAAATGAATTGACAGTTTATGTTCTCACATCCTCTTTATTCAGGTTGTCTCAGTGGTTCATGTGTCAGTTTAGGATCCAACTTTTCACACTTTATCCACCCTGATACAATATCAAAGCATGTCACACTGTTCCACACAAATACGTCTTTTTCTTGATCACATTGTTGAATCCATAGATTTCTGCATTCATGTTTTTGATTTCGGTCCACATACTGGTTTAAAGTGAGAAGGTGTGGTTCATTAAAAAGAAGTAATATCACAATTTTCCGCACCTGAATCAGAATTTTTATATAGAGAGTTTATATATATATATAGAGAGAGAGAGATGTCACACCAGCATCTCGGCCTCCCCTCTGTGGTAACACCTCCGTCCCTTGTCTGAACAGTCAAAAAAATTGATCAAATGGATCTGTCACTCGTCATCCACAGGTAAGTGCTCCTGTCAGGGTCTGAGCCTTCGTGTGAGACCCTTTGGTCACTTAATGTATGTAAATAAATTATTGTCAGTAAATACATTATTGATTAAAATCTTGTATATATAACCTTTAAGTGAGTTTAGTTCAAGTCGCCAACTTCTCAGATTTACCCAGTGATTCCAACTGGTCTGGTGTTGTATCAAATAAAACCTGTTTTCTCCATGAGAAAAACTTTTGACCGAAGAATCAACAGCTACAGTAAGAAACCAGGCTGCATCCATGAAAAATGGCAACAAGCTTGAATGAGACACAGCTGTGCAAAGTGTTGCATGTCGACTTACAGAAATGGCTATTTAATCAACAATTAAACTATATTTATGTTGTCAATGTGAAAAAACAATATGTCTTTAATTACTGGATTACTGGGTGGTTGGGACGAAACAAACTAAACCCCCTTAACTCAAGAAATCATCATAAATAACATTTCAGGCTGAGTTAATAAAATGACCACTCAGCAGCAGATTAGCTGAATTTCGAACAGTTAAATCTCATCATAAATAATACTTAAATTGTAAATTTAAATGTACACACACATTTCAATACTTGAGAGGAATACGCTTTTTAAAGGTTTACAGACATTTTCACACCTGAATAATAATAACTAATTTTGTATTTGTAATAAGTTATTAATAATAATAATTAATTATATACTTTTCAAAAAGCCGTTGCTGAGAGAGAAAGAGAGTAAGAGATAGAGAGAGAGAGAAAGAGAGAGAGAGAGAGCACATGACCCCTCCGGTACAGTAGGAGGCAGTAAAGGCAGCTCTGACTCTCATCTGCATTCTTTTATGAAGCTGAAGAAGAGGAGGAGGAGGAGGAGGAGGAGGAGGAGGAGGAGGAGGAGGAGGAGGAGCATTCTGTTTGCGTTGCAATGGGCGGGGGAAAGTGGCCAGACCAATGAGATTGTCATTACACACGACAGCATGTCAGCAAATGCCAGTATAAAGTCAAATCCTCATGCAGACAACATATTGTCCATGAAATGTTTCAGGTGACCTCAGATCAGAGAGGGTTGCATGTGCCCTTCCTATGGGTCCCTGCTCACGTGGGGCTGGAGGGCAGCCTTAAGCAAAGCAGAAATCTGTCATCAACTCATTCAGTCACCACACATGGCAGGAATATTGGGATTTAAATGACACATGAAGGCATTTGTACAAAACTCAAAAACATGTAGGCGCTGGTGAGAGGAGCAGAGAATCATTACCCGTGTGAGAACTGGTCATACAGAATATAATGATAAACTTCTTAAAATAAAAAACCCAACTGGACCCTGCGAACACTGGACACTGTCACTCATGTATTGACAGATTGTAACAAATACAATGAACGAAGAAGGGAATTAAATCAGAATTAAAAGACGAAAAGCAAAATATCACATAATGATGTAAATTTGGAATTAAAGACATCAAGGAATATACGTCATCTTCTAATTAACTAATTAATCTAAACAGGAATAAGAAAAACTCATCACTACTTTCATTTTGTTTGCTGCTCATCTACTCTTCCACACTCCGGTCCAGAGGGTGGCGGTAATAGCTGGTTTCCCAACCTCTAATAAACACCAGAGGAAGAAGGAGGCGACCGGAGCCAGTGCATGCTGGGAAGGTGACATGAAGCACAATGGCGGTTAAACAACAAGTGTCCCGTGCCCTCACTCTCTCATGTTTGGTCTCGTCCCTTCTGCTCCACACTTGTCGGACTGCAGCCGAGGAACTGCAGTGGGATGTGAACGGCTACGTGCTGTACTGCCCGTGCATGGGTAACTCATTCAGCGGAGAGCTCACTCTACGTTTGTTCCGCAGAAAGCTAGCGAGTGTGAAAGTTCAGTGTGGGGGGGGGGGTTTACGTGGCCTACACATGCGCACACACCGGCGGGGACCTCCGCTGCAGCCAGCCCTCGGCTCAATAAAGAGATTAGCTCGGCAATGACACGCTGACGGCACCGTGAAGTAGACACGCAGCGGTGGCTAGCTAGCAGCTAACCGGTCGGTCTAGTTTTAGAACCACGTTGCGACACGTCAGATGGGGGCGAGGGGGGCTCGAGGAGTGTTTGTGTTGACAGTTGTCCGTGAGTCTGGTGAAGTGACCTCTGCTGTCGTTCAGGTCGCTTCGGGAACCAGGTGGACCACTTCCTGGGAACTCTGGCCTTTGCAAAGATGTTGAACCGAACCCTGGCGGTCCCTCCCTGGATAGTGTACCGCCACCACACGCCCCCTTACACCAACGTAAGTGCAGTCACACAAGTGAGGACTGAAGGCTGAGAGATGAGTTTGCATGAAACCGTGAACAAGATACAGAAAGCACAGAAAATTAGGGCAGGTAAGAAATACATAAACTCAAATATGACAATGCCGCAGAGCCCCTTAAGTCCTTGTAATAACCATGAATGAGTTAATGTGCAGGAAAGAACTCTTGCTGATAGTGTGTCCATGTAAGAGCAGCAAGAATGTCATTGCTTGACATTCCAAGTTGAAAATAAAACTTCTCTCCGTCAGCTGTGTGCATCTGAAGCCAATAGACGCGTTTGATTATAAAAATATTTTGTGCAAACAACATCATTATTAAGTAAAACTAAAATCTAGTAAATAAAAAATGAAAAGACATAAGTGCATTTCAGGTAGATGTTGTGAAATGCTGTTCTGACATTAAACAGAATCAACACTACATCAAACATACAGTCTGTTTGCAGTATGAACAAGTTACTCTGTCTTTACTAATTACATTTTAATGTTTGGGTCTCAGAAATGCAAAATAAAGAATATTGGAAAAGATGGTCATACAACAGATATCATGAATTAATGTAATTAGTTACAGATGTTTAATTCGGGACGGAGGAGAAGCGATGGCAGCTGCCTGGAGTAACTTCCTGTTGCATGTAATAACTTGTTCTTATCCTCAGATCATTTAAGTTATCAGTGTCTTCAGAAGACATTTTTGACCTGTCATAACAGGAAAAGCACAGTTGTCATGTCAGCGTGCTGATGTAACAAGGCCTGAGAACTAGTAAACCTAATCTGAATTCAGCCTTTGGTAATGTGCTGGTGGATCTAATGTTGAAAACATATTTGCAGCCCATTATTAATGATTTACATTTTCAGAAGGAACAAATGAGGCGAGGGCCTCAGGTTGCAATAAATTAAGATAGAGACTAACACATCGTTGGTTTATTCTTTTCATCAGATGTATTGACAGTTAAAATATGATATCACCAGCTGTGGATAGCACTGATTCATTCAATTCTTTTCTATTCAGGTCCATGTTCCCTACAGTGAGTTTTTCCAGTTAGAGGCCTTGTATGCCTACCATCGTGTGCTCAGTTTGGAGGACTTCATGGAGAAGCTGGCCCCCAAATACTGGCCCTCAGGACAGAGGAATGCCTACTGCTTTGAGACTGCTGCGCAGCGGAGCGTAGACAAGAAATCCTGCCCTATGAAGGTGAGAGTCACACAGGACAGATTATTTGATTCATGAATGTTGACTTGCTATTACTTGATGACAGTGTACCATTTCTCTCCCCTGAAACATTTGAAATAGTGAATAAAGGTGAAAGTAAAGATGCATGATTGCAAGTGAAAGGCTGAGGGTGAAATGCTGCCTCCTGGTGGCCAGAAGGCTTTTGTTTTAATCAATTTAAATGTATGACAAACATGAATATGAAGCATGTGTCGCTGTGTCACTGCTCTGAACTGGACAGATGGGTCTGATTCATTTACAGGACGGGAACCCGTTTGGTCCATTCTGGGACTACGTTGGTGTGGACTTTGACAAGTCTGTCTTGTTTGGTGGTATTTCTTTTAGTGCCTACCATCAACCTCAGTGGATGAAAAAGTGAGTACATGTTTGAGCATCCCCACTGGACTGTAGATGAAACAGAAAAATTAAATAATAATTATTAAATAATATAATAATTAAACGCCCTCTTTCTATTTAATGACTGATTGACTGTTGGGACTTCGGAGGTTTCCATTGGTTTTCTGTGTCCTGTCTTCATGCTTATCCTGCTGGAACAGGTTCCCTCCCTCTGAACACCCTGTCCTGGCGCTGCCCGGGGCTCCTGCCCAGTTCCCGGTGATAGAGGAGCACGTGGCCCTTCAGCGGTATGTAATGTGGTCGGACAAGATGGTGAAGGAGGGAGAAGAGCACATCGCCACCTCGCTGACCAGGCCATACGTTGGCATTCACCTGAGGATTGGCATCGACTGGGTGAGATGATCCATATGGTGTGATGAAAATGTAATTTGTTTGGAGGTGTTTGGTATTAAACTATTCAGTACTGAGCTGAAGTAGATCTTTAAAAGTATATGGCTAGTGATAGTCTTCTTATCTTTATGACAAAATCAAAACCAACAACACTTGCGGTTTTTGTGATCTTTCAAAACTCCTCACAAATGTATTGTTTCATTTTTATCAAAGATTCATTTTCTAAAACAGCTGGTCACTGTAGTATTCATATTTTCAGCTGCGGGGCAATCACATTTGGTGTTCTAGTGAGTATTTGAGTGTTAGTGCAACACTGTGACACTGTGATTTTAATAGTTTGTGGAAATGAAGTCAGTGGCACAAATGAATAAACTATATTGCCTTTGGATACATGTACAAAATACTTGTTAGTTGTACACATTTGTTATTTAAAGTACTTACGAGGCATGTGTTGACAGTTTACTTTCTACCAGGTACTTACCTAACAATTCCCTCTGTACCTAATAATTCTTCAAATGTTTGTCTGTCTGTTGAACCGATTTTTTTGCTAACTGTTTATCTTATGGATACATGATACGTTCAGTTTTAATACAAATTTAATAAACATGTGAGCTGAGCTCTGTAGCAGTCAGTGGGGGTGGGGCAGTGTCCTTTCAGTCCGAGTACTGAGTTAAATATATCTTCATTTATATCCTTGGATAAACTACAGCAGAGGTCAAACCACGGGTCAAAATCACTGCTAGATCATTTCCCTCTCCGAGGTGCAACCTAGACTGTTTATAAAAAGCTCAGCACACAACAAATAAAAGGGGACAGTATGTTGTAGAACTTTCTAATGACAAGGAACAATAAGTTTCTCTGGAGCATTAACACGACTGAAGAGAACAGCCTATTCCAAACAAGTAGGTTTACAACCATCACTGCGCGACAAATAACATCACAGTCACAATTCAAAACCAAAGAAAGTCTGCGGGAATGTGCAGTGCATTTCTACGTTGGTTCTCACCCAGTTCATCAGCGAGTAGTTACATCTAAATATTTCCCTCTCATCCACTGTTACAGCAAAACGCATGCAAAATGCTGAAGAGTGGAGATGCAGGGCCTCACTTCATGGCCTCTCCTCAGTGTGTCGGCTACAACCGCCAGACTGCGTTGCCTCTCACCATGCCCATGTGCCTGCCTGACCTGGCGGAGATTCGCAGGGCTGTGAAGCTGTGGGTGAAGAAGACCTCTGCCAGCTCTGTCTACATTGCCACCGACTCAGAATCCCACAGTCAAGAAATTGAAAAGATCTTCAAGGGCAAGGTGGGTGTTAAAGCCTCTGTCATGCACTCACAAGTATGTCGAAGGATGTCCAGCTTTGAATTGCTCTAGAACTCTGTTTCTGGCATGTGAAACCTTAAATGAAAGTTCAACTGACAAATCTTTTTGATTGTCTTGTCAGTAAAACCGGTTTTGTCACATTTTGGCAAAATATCATAACATTGTTGAGAACCGAAAAATACTCAAACAAATAATCTATCGCTCAGTCACTGCTACAATATTGTAGTTCCTTACTGGCTGTTGATGCCTTTGTTTCATTGTGGCTACCACAGGTTAAAGTGGTGACTCTACAACCAGACTCAGCCCAGTTGGATCTATACATCTTAGGCCGAGCTGACCACTTCATCGGCAACTGCGTCTCTTCCTTCTCTGCATTTGTGAAGAGGGAGAGGGACGTGCATGGCCTCCCGTCCTCCTTTTTTGGCATGGACAAGCCTGGGAAACCAAATAACAAAGAAGAGCTATGAGTGTTACACGGTTGCCCTTTGGGCGGTGGTGATGGATGACTGTCACGAGGAGGCGGGACGGCATGTGAGAAGCAGAGAGAATTTATGATTATGTGACAGTTCTTAATGGGTGAAGAAAGATGAGAGACTAAGTCATGGATAGGTTCCATTTTAGGATGGGTTTTAATCTCTGGGAATGGAAGAAGGGCTAGGGTGTCGCAGGTGGGTAGTCTTAATAAAATATTGCTGCTGCTGCCAAAAATTCCACAATGCAACTTTTTGTCTGTTCTCTGCTTGAAAATCGAGTATCTGAATGTTCCCTCTAAAGTTTTGGCTCCTACCTTACTTTTGTTCACTTCAATCAGTTTTCCTTCCCATCGGGGAAACACACCATTTCCTTTACATTTCCTTCAGTACAACTGCATTCTGCTGCTGCTGCTGCAAACATGTTCTACAGTACAGACGTGAGCAGGACCTCCGATGACCTCAGTGTACTGGAAAAGACTGGTTGCTGTGTCAGCGATCATGTTCTACTGCTCTGTCTTTTGCCTTCTTCCTCTTTCCCCCCCCCCACTACTTTTTCGTCCCTCCATCTCTTTGCAGCTTGCTCTTTTCCTTCCCTCTTTCCTCCTTTCCAAGGAGAGAACAGTAACTGATCCTCCTGTTCATACAATTATGGGCAGGGGAAAGGACACAGTCTTTCCACATCTAAATTTACCAGGACCAAAAACTGATGAGGTGTGTGAATGTTATTCAGTGCATGTGGAATAAACGTTTTAGAAGGACAAAGGAGTTTATTTGCACTGGATGAATTGATTTAAATGTAAATATGAATGTGTTGTGGTCTAACTGTCTTCCTCAATGTGAAAGCAGTGAATGCAATGATGAAGTTTTTTTTCTATTATGTTTTTCACCAATAAAGAAATGAACACTAATGTTGAGCAGCAGCAGTCTTGGCCTATTTCTCTCACAGGAAGTGTTGCACAGTTGCTGGGAATAGTTGAATCAGCTGATACACTCATGGGGACAAGCTTGGTGAGGCTTGGTTGCCAGATAAGTCAGAATACTTGGAATTTGTATTCATAATGCATATATGTGAGCTTATAAGCATGTGTAAATATAACAAGAAGTTGAATGCACTTCATCGAAATGAACATGTCGTGTCTGGATACTAATATTTACTTGGTTTGATGTTTTTCACACGCATCTCTGTCGGGGGATGTGGTGTGCGGACCTGGCAGCCCGCCCCAG